AGAGAGAGAGAGAGAGGGAGGGAGGAGGGGGAGGGAGAGAGAGAGAGAGAGAGAGAGAGAGAGAGAGAGAGAGAGAGAGACTCGACCATCCCCCCACGATCAGGTGTACTATCTGTTCCGGTCAGTTTCATATCTGATCCGTTGCCGATCAAGAACTTTAAAAAAGAAGGAAAAAGAAAACGGAAAATCCGTTCGCATACTGATCAGTGCAATGGAGAAAAAAAAAACAAGGGAAGCATGAGCGATTTCGGAAATAAAAGGAACCGGAAACACAAGTGATTTCGGGAAGAAAAAAAAGTAAAGGGAAGTGGGCGCGTGCAGGCATGCAGCCGCAAGAGGTAAGATGCAGAGAGAGAGAGAGAGAGAGAGAGAGAGAGAGAGAGAGAGAGAGAGAGAGAGAGCATCCATCAACTTCTTGGCAAACTTTTCATTTTTATTGCGGGCGTAGCCGCAACAGGTCCCCTAGTTATTAATAATCATCAGCAGGTTGATATTCATCTGGGCTTGCATTGTTGACAAAAGTTTAGGGGAGTATGCTAATATGATATTAATGAGTAGTTTATGTACTCTTTTATTTTTGGGTGGTTGGTTGCTCATCATGAATATGGCTATTCTTTATTGGATTGCAGGCTCGATTTGGTTCAGTATAAAGGCCGAAGGCTTTCTGTTTTTATATATTTGGGTTCGTGCAGCATTTCCACGATATCGTTATTCCGAAAGCAGACAATATCGTATGTTGAAGACTAAAAGAAAGGCATTCTTGTAATCCAAGGACAAATGAGAAGACCCCTGCTTCAGTGTGGTTGAGTAGGAAGTGCCCACACGTCCTTCCGCTAAATGAAGACTTGGACAATGCTGTCACCCCGACGGTTGGCGCCCCCCAATTGGTTGGGGTCTGACCAGTAGGCCTGTCAGCATCTGCCAGTCAGCTCTGGTCGGCACCCCGCAAAAAATATAAAAATAGAAAAATAACGAAAACCAAGCAAGAGAGTGCAATGAACCCACACATTGCACTCTCTTGCTTGGTTTTCGTTATTTTTCTATTTTTATATTTTTTGCGGGGTGCCGACCAGAGCTTGCACTCTCTTGCTTGGTTTTCGTTATTTTTCTATTTTTCTATTTTTTGCGGGGTGCCGACCAGAGCTGACTGGCAGATGCTGACAGGCCGACTGGACGGATCCCCACCAATTTGGGGGTGCCAACCGTCAGGGTGACAGCATTGTCCAAGTCTTCATTTAGTGGAAGGATGTGTGGGCACTTCCTACTCAACCACACTGGAGCAGGGGTCTTCTCATTTGTCCTTGGATTACAAGAATGCCTTTCTTTTAGTCTTCGACATACGTTATTGTCTGCTTTCGGAACTTCATGTAGGTGTGGGTGCGCTTCATCCTTGATTGACATCTTGCGGTTATGGTTTCAGTAGTTCGTTTACTGCTGTCGCTCGTTCTCTACGATACGACACAACTGTAGTTTTCTGTTCTGGTGGCTATCGGTTGTGGCAGGCAACCCTGTGGTATGCTGTCGTGGAATGCAAGGATGCGTGTCTGAAATATGACTGCTGGTATGAATGGCTCTGTCTAGTCTGTATTTGACATTTTGATGCAGATTATTATGCAGCCGCAGGTCGTATGCCACCACTCTTTGTCGTTTGATCAGAACTTTGGCGGGAACGTCCTCTGTGAGTCAACAAGCTTCAAGTTTCAGCACAGAACTCTACAGTATGGGGTTGAGAAATGAGAGGGGAGGATGCCCTGTTGGACATCTTACTGAGGTTCATGACTCCTGTCCCTTGTATGTTTGCGGCTGCTTATGCAGATGCGGGCGGTATGACACCACTCTTCACTGCCGCGGAGTGGGGGTATACCAATGTCGTTAAGACATTGTTGAAAGGTGGTGGTGATGTCCTGGTCTGGAATAGGGCAGGCGAGTGTCCTTTGTACATAGCAGCTTTGAAGGGGCATGTAAAAGTTGTGGAGGTGATGCTTGCGCATTGCCAGGAGCATGGCATTGATTGGCAGAATGCTGACTATTATGGTGAGTGTTCTGCATATCTCTGCAGCCTTCGCACACATATACACTTTTGTTGCCCTCGTAGAGTTGATTGAGGAAGTGCTGACTATAATGGTGATTTTTGTGCTCATCTTTGTGCCCTTGCACCTTCTTTTGTTTTGTTTTGTTTTCTCTCTTTGAGTCTTTGATATTTTCCCACCTCACACTACCTACCTCGGGCTGTGTACTCGAACTGGTCTACCCACCTTCCGGGCCTGCAAGGGGCACGTCAACCCAACCAGCAAGGAACCCAGCTCCATGTTTCGAAAGACAACCATAGGGTTCAAGGTCGAAGACTAGACACTACCTACTAAGGGTTATGGGTTGGATTCCCGGTCCTACTCTGCTCAACTCTGCTCTATGAGGGGAGCAGTACCCCAACTCCTAATACCTCTTCGATTTTCAAAATCCAGGGAACTATCCTACAGAGAATATATCACACACTGGTGTCTAGGCACTGGTATGCAGACACATCACTGTCGAAACGTCTGGATAATTATCTTGAGCAACAGTGAAATCCTCAGGTGTGATGTGGGACAATGTGCTGTGGTTGTGAATGGTAGTGTGATTGGGATGGTTCGAGTTGGTGAACGATGGCTTTACGCATTTGATGGAAATGTACTGTATACATCGATGGAGGCTGAGACGATCTCTGTCCGCTTGTCTATTTTTTTCACTTAGGAGATGGATGGACACCTCTGATGGCTGCAGCCATTGCAGACCGTCAAGATGTGGCCAAGTTGTTACTCTGGGCCAGTGGATCGGAAGACGATGTTCATAAGGAGGGAGACATGAAGGGCACGAACAGCTTGCTGGGCACACTGCAAGAAAGCTTGCCGTGCCATCAAGATGGCGCATGGGCTCTTCCTGCCGGGGTTACGGATGTCGAGGACCCCATTTTCGCAGCGCCCGAGAGCTGCTTGGACGCCACCACAGGAACCCAGACATTTATCCCATCAGAGATGCTTCTCCCTTGCACGGTCAATCGAAGAGAATTTGAAAGCAGAAATTTCCAAAAAAGGAAGGGCAGCGTTGACCGGGAAGTGGATGAAGGGCCGGCAATGAAAGGATTGCTCAGGAAGTGCCAGTTGGGAAAGCAGCTTCTGGACGCGCAAAATCGCTATGGGCAGACCGCATTGCATATCGCAGCCAGACGGCCATCTGTTTGGTTTGTGGTGAGACTGTGCACTCCTCCCCCCTCCTTTCTTCTATTCTCTTCTCATCTCTGTTTTCTCTGCCTTGCCTCCCGGTTTGTGTTGATACCCCTTGGCATTGTCTTTTTGTTTTCTCTTACTCTCAGGGGCAAATCTCTCTGTCTGTTTCCCTTTGTGCGGCACTGAGCTCTGTCCTTGTGTGCCTCTTTTGACACGTGTTTGTTGAGCTTCTTTCCCTCATGTCCCTCTCCTGCTTGCCCCGCCAAGCTCTGCCGCTGTCGTTTGGCTTTAAGCAGGCTCGTGATGCTGCATGCGTGCGTTGATTTGGTGTTTGTTTACCTTCTTCCCGTCATCTCCCTGTCCTCCTCGTCTTTCCAAGCTCTGTCCCTGCCTTTTGGCTTTAAGCAGGCCGAGTCCCAGTGATGCTGCATATGTTTTATTCAGTTGATGTTCGTGAGTCAAGCGTGATGCTGACTTCACAAAGGCGAATTCGGCTTTGTGATCAATGTGTGCACTCCCGATCTCTGTTCCTACCCTGCTGTTGTTTGAGAGTTCCGGTGCTTTAGAGTCCGCTCCGGGATTGCTGGTTTTGACAAGGGTCTCACTTTGGAATGGATCGGTGTGGTGTCCTTATTGGTGGCATGGCATAAGTCATGGCCAGGACTTATGCTTCGCTCCCCCAGCTCTTCTTTTAGTGTCACAGCTGTCTATTGAACCTGTGTGTGGTTTTGTTCTCTTTGTGCAGACTAACCTTCTAAGTGCTGGAGCATGTCCCGACATTGCTGATCAATATGGGCACACTGCAGTTGATGTTGCAAGACGGCAGGGTCATTCCACGGTATGTTGATTCCATCTCTTCTTTCTTTCACGGTGAGTGCGTGGTGATGCCACTTAAAGCCAATATTGCGTCCTTTGGGACATTCGTTAAAATTGGAACGATACAGAGAATATTAGCATGGCCCCTGCGCAAGGATGACACACATAAATCGAGAAATGGTCCAATTAAAAAAAAAAAAAAAAGGAAGCTGGTTTTGGAACTCCTTTTCCATGTCTTTGTGATGGTCTTGGCAGGTACCGCATGTTTCGAGTCTTTGACATGTGTGCAAGCTTTCGGCCAGCAGCGCAGGAAGCAAAAATGCATACCTTGTTTCCTTGCCGCTCGTTTTATAAGGTCTAGGGTGAAGCTGTCCGTTTTCTCTCTTTCTGTTAAACTACCAGTACTTCCCAAAGTTGTGCCCATTAACGAGCCACAATTTTGGGAAACGTACGGGCCACTACAGGAGCGCCCAAATTCATCCGACTAGAAATGTTTCTACTCTATTTTTTCCCATGGACGATAGCCGGGCCAGGTACTGGTGGTTTAAACCACCAGTTCACACAAGTGTACATTGACGAAGCTACCTTCCAAGGCTTGTGAGCCTGCGACGGCGCCTTTTTGAAGTGGCCTATGGCTTTTGCTACCGGCTAGGCCCAAATCGAAATGCTCTTACTGCGTATACCGGTTAGAGCACTACTTAGGTTTGTGTGAACTGCTGGTTTAACCGTTTAAGTACAATATAAAGGTGTTCAAGTCTTTTACCAACGGGCCTAGCTCAGTTGGTACACCAATGAACTGTTGAAATACAGAGCCAAGTTCGAATCCAGATGCAGTCAGATGAACAAAATAGAAAATAGCGTACTTCTGATTGACAGCATCACGCCATGCAACTGCACGCTGCTTCACATCAGGGTGGTGGCGATTACCGTGGAAGCAAAAGTTGTGTTCTACACTGCCATTGGCATGCACTGCAATGAGATTCATAGCAGTGCGCGTCGTGCTGTTTGATCAACTTTGATGTGCTTATCATTTGAATGATTATTGTGTGTAAAATATGACACGGTGCTGGGAACGGTGCTGGGAAGTGTTCTGTTTTTCTCATTTCGTTCTTGCCTCTCCGAGCCCGAAACTCTTTTCTTAAGTTTTTTATTTATTTATTGATTTACGTTTTCGAATAACTGTTATGTTCGTCTTGTTTTTTTGCTCATCCTGCATGTTCACAGGTCGTGGATCTTTTCCGTGCTTGGAAGGCTATGCAAGCAAAGGCACGGGTTGATAGGTGTGAGGCATCGTCAACGACCTGCCGATCAGGGAAGAAGTCTGTGGCATCAGAGAAGGTTTGGCCTCTGCCATCAGCACACTGGGAAGCAGGAGCCACTTCAGATTCTCCATTGCTTTCGACAAAAAAGCTGGTGTCGCCGCCATCATCCTCATCGCCGAGGATGGACGGTCGTCTGATCAGCCATGCTCGTTCAGGTAGTCTGGGCAGTGAGGGCACACAGGAAATGGCTCGTTGTTCTGCACCCACGGGAGAAGATGAAAAGGCTGCTATTATTGAGCGTACATCATCTCCTCGTGGGTCTCAAATGCCCTCTTTGAACACAGAGCCGCCACCCGTGCAAAGGCTCATGGACCAAGCTGGGTCGGGAACTGGCGCAGGGCGAGCTGGGCGAAGACGAAGAGGACGAGCTAGCAGGGAGCCCAGCTGGCAACAAACTCGACAGCACGCTGGGATCAGGGAGGGCGATGGGGTGCTTGCTGGGTCGGATGGGCCGTTTGCAAGGAATGTCCTTTTCGAAAGCGACGAGGCATCTCCAAGCAGCATCAACACATCATCTCCTTGCACTTCACCCCGTATGTCAGTTGCACAAGGCGGTGATGCTGAGGGGAACAGAAGCAGTGGACCACCATACAGTGCCTCAACCAGGAGTAGCAGAACAGCTCCAGGAGAACAAGGAGGGGGAGGCGATACGTTGTCTCTATCACCTGAGAGCCAAGCAACTGGCCAGGAGAATGGCCAAGGTAATAACCATTCGCTGATGTCTCACACACTTCGGAGGAAACAGTACCAGGGTGGAAGGATGGTCTGGAGGCGGAAAGATGCAGAAACATGACCGTAGGTGGCGAGTCGCCGAGGTCATAGCAACTTCAGTGTGGAAAGGGCCTTAATTTGTAGCGTTGTTTGACAAGTAGGGATGTAGGAAAGGTAGTTGTACTCGAGAAGATAGGCGTCTTTACAGATGATGAAGGTGTTGATCGCGAGCTAATCATTGTTCTCAGATTTCAACTGTACAGCGTAGGCATGCTGCCGATCTCTGCGGAGTGCGGGCTGTGGTAGTGAGCTCTGTTTGGAGAAACTGTAGGTTGGTTGGTAGGCGTGCGCGGCGAAGATCGTTAGGTTTTTGAGTCTTTGGAGAGGGCGTAGCTGATCGTTATGAACCATGGCCAGGGTATGGGAATGGCCAACAAAAGTTTTACTTGTGCGATTGTTAGCCGTGATGTGCTTTTTATGTCATGTCGTCATCGTTGATTGTCAGAATAGGTAGTTTTGGTCCAAGCTGTGAGGTGAGCTGTGGAGTTGTCTGTAGCTGTAGTGTGGCGAGGACCTAGTAGCAGGTGCTCATGTCTGGGGGTGCTATTCACAAAATTTACTGTTCGCGGCAGACAGCCCACACATGGCTGTGAAGAAATATCCCAGGAAATCTGGGACAGAGTGGACTCCCATTTTTTTGAGTGCAATCCAATCTGCGAGTGTATGGAATGCCGCAAGAGGCAACCTTCCGGAGCTCTTGCCTATCGGAAATTCTACCCAGATCATGAAAGGCAAGGAGTAAGTGCTACAGACCGCTGGTAGGTTCCGATTTCCAATCGTCAATAGATAAAGTAAAAAAAATGATAACGTAGATAACAACCGCATTTCTTTTCCAGTAATGGCTTCCGAGTTTAGAGTGAGCGAACTCCATCTATTCTCTCTTCAATGTCTTCATAAAAAAAATTACGATCGTTTATCCGATGCGCACTGTCAATCACGTCAAGATGCTTCGTAGATCTAGGGAGCTTGACGATGGCTTATAGGGTTCTTTCTCAGCTGTCTGTGCATGTGGGACGCTTGCTAGAAGGTGCATCTCGACGTTGTGGCTGACCAGAGTTCCAAGGTTAAGCTGGTTGATTTGTTGTCCGTCAACGATAAAGTGCCAACACCTTGTCAAAGAATTCTTTCTCCCTCGTTAGAGTGTCTGAACACTTCAGTAATGGAATGCCCTAAAAATTTTGTTCTGCGACTTCTCGTCTGTGGGTGCATGGCTTTACGTTGCACATGTACAGAAACTGAGTTGTAGGAAGCGTGTTATTGCGCAACTGGCCACCGTACCGTGTAGGGCTGTTAGTTTTTGTGTGGCTTTCTTTTTTATTTTTGGTAGAGCATTTGCGTTTCATTTGCTACTAGAGAAAAGCTTTCGAGCAGAAGCGATTCGTTGCATCGAAGATATTCGCACCACATATAACACGTAATTTTTTACCAGTAAAAAACCACCCCTCTGAAATCTATTCATAACACGTAATTTTTTACCAGTAAAAAGCCACCTCTCTAAATAGCTGCTACCCTCACATAACGTTATATATATTTTTTTGGATTTTCATCGTGACATTTGTTTCACAGAGAGAGAGAGAGAGAGAGAGAGAGAGAGAGAGAGAGAGAGAGAGAGAGAGAGAGAGAGAGAGAGAGGCCC